GAATGGGTCGAGAACCGGTCCAAATAGCTTCCCCCCAGAGATGGGGGCTGATGCTAGCTTAGCCTTGTTTTTAACGTCCGCTTGCCAGTGGCGGAGCCAGAGTAGACGGCGGGCGGTGACCTGGGACAAAATGGCCCTGGTGGAAAACTTTGCCGCCTGGAAGGTGGCGTCTGCCGAAAACTCGGCCGCGGCCAGGATCTTGGCAATGTCCTGGTGCGCCCTGAGATTGGCTGAGGGAACATGCTGCTGGAGCTGCTGGAGCCACTTGATGGAAGACCTGGTGAAAAAAGACGCGGCTATGGAAGCCCTGACTGCCCAGGCGTCAGAGAGGTGAGCGCGGCACAGGGCCAGTTCAGCTCGTTTGTCCTCGGGCTGGAGAGCCTCGAGTGAGTCGCTGGGAGTAGAGCGGGAAGCCAGGCCTACCACGGGCTCGTCCACGGGGAGGGGATCGAGCAAGGTGGAGAACTGCGGTTCCAGGTTAAAAAACCGCTTGTCCTGGGCATTGGGGGGAGGGGGCCCCGAGGAGGCCAACTGCCTAGAGACCATGTCTGAGAATATGGGCGGGACAGGGATCACCTCAGTTTCCACCACGGGCTGAGAGAAAAGAGAGTCGGGAGGAACCCCTGCCGCCGCTGGGTTGGGTGGGGGAGGGGGGTTCAGGCCCGAGGTAGTCCTGGCTAAAAACGCGGGCTGGCCTGGAGAGAGGCCCTCGTCCTCCGACATGTCCCCCTCTAGAGGGCCTGTTCCCGAAAAGAGTTCGCTGCCTATGAGGGACCCCATGTCGAGGTCCTGCTCGTCCCCAAAGAGGGTAGGGTCCCCGGGTTCTTGGGCCTCCATCCCCTCCATCTCCAAAGGTAAGGTTAAGTCCCCTTGGGGAGTTGCCTGACCATGCGAGGCCGCTGATCCTAGGGCCTCGGGGGCCGCAGGCCGAGGAGCCAGACCGGCCAACTGCTGCATCTGTTGCGCTACCCTTTGCCGGATGGCCAGCTCCATAGCCTGCATCAGGTTTTCGGGTATTTCCACCATGGGGGGTGGGTGAAACTCCTCCGGGTGCGGATCTACAGCAGTGGTGGGCAAGGTGACCTCAGGGGCCTGTCCAGGCTGTGAGGAAGAAGCAGAAGCAGGAGAGGAGGGGAGAGGAGGATGGGTGGAGGTTGATGGAGCGGAAGGGTCCCGGGACACAGAGCTTGACTCATGAGAGCGTCTGTCAATCTCCCTTTCGAGGGCCCTGTGTCGCCTGAGGGCATCCCTTTGGGAAGCTTTGGATGGTTCCTGTGCCTGTTTGCGCAGGTGGTGGGATTTAGCCTTGGCCTTCAGAGAAGTGCCACGAGAGGTATTGTCGTCTGCCATCTGGAGAGGAGAGAAAAAAGGGAAAAAAATTTTTTGGTTAATGCGAGATGGTTAGCGGGTCTGGGTACGGCCTAAGCAGAGGCTGGAACTCCCAGTGCTCGTATCGCACCCCCTTTTTGTCAAGGCAACAGAGTTGTTCTGCAACGTGTTGGGAAGTAGGGCCTAGCCCGGGGGCCAGTCAGCCAGAATAAACGCCAAGCTGTCCCTGCCGGGCGAACCGGGGAAGGGACATGGCAAGCAACTAACTCCTTTGTTGGGGAGAGAGTATGAGCCAGAGACCAAGGCAGGATTGCAAGGTATTTGAGCAGTCCCAGGAGCTGCCCAGGAGTCAGGGGAACAATGCGGCCTACTGGTAGGCCTCTGACAAGAGCCAATGACCCTGGGGCCGCAGGCAGAAGGAAATAATGTAAGCTGTAACCAGGTCTGGATGCGGCCTACGTGGAGGCCGGGAATCCCAGCGCACGTTCCGCGCCCCCCTTTTAGTCAAAAAAATTTTTCTGTTTAAAAAAAAAAAGAGGTTTGGTACGAACCAGGGCCTAGCCCAGAGACCAATCAGCCAAAAGGTGAACGCCAGGCAGCTACCCCTGCCGGACGGACCGGGGAAGGGGTGGGGGGGGGCAGAGCTGCTACCTCGCCTGCTGGGGAAAACGCTGCAGGGCCAACAGGCCCTATTTCTGCAGGAGGCCTGTCAGTAGAATGAAAGGCAGGCTGAGACTTCCAGGCTTCCTAATGATCAGTTAAGGCTGCGGCCTGTAAAAGGGCCTCAATGGCGGACGGCCATGCGGCCACTCACAAGATGGCGGCCGTTCCAGGGCATACCCAAGATGGCGGACGCCACAGGGGGCCCAAGATGGAGGCCGCAAGCAACGGAGGCAGCCCCAGTGGCGGTAAACTCCCAGGGAAAAAAGGAGAAATAGACCCTTTGGGAGAACCAGGGAAGCGTTCCCTGGGCTAGATGGCGTTCGCGGGGGGGGAACGGCGGCTAAAGCGAGTAGAGGCAGGCAGAAACGAAGCGGCCTCGCGCGGAGCGATTAGGCGGCAAACGAAGCGGTGGGGGGGGCAGCGCTCGAAGCGCTCGTTTTCTCCCCTTAAGGAAACGGTTCGAATATTAAAAACACTCCCTGGGGAGTTCAAACCTGAGTTCCTGCGCTGCCTGCTGGTGATCCACGTAGAAAGCGATGAGAAGAAGGCCTAGAATGCTGAACGACCGGAGCAAGAGAAAAACAGCCTGTCTGCCACGAGGCTGAGCAAAAAACTGGGGAGCGCCTGAGGACCACGTGATGGTGAGGGGCGTTCCTCAATTTCAAGCTCAGCCTGTGAGAGCCGAGACTGGAGCTCCTCCCAACCTGGACGCTCGAGACAGCTCTATGGAAAATAATGCAATCATGGAAGGGCAGCTGTCCTTAAAGGGCCATTTACAAATAATAAAAGAAAAAAAAAAGCTTGGTCGTAGTCTGATTTTTAATATTGTCCTGATTGGTGCATGCTTTCATAATATATATATAGACTGCCGATCTAATCAGTAGTGGGTTGGGTTGTTTTTTTCTTTGCATCCCAGAGAGTGAGTTTGCAACAGTTTTACTACTTAAAAAATAAACCAGCCTTAACCTGAATGTGAAGACCTGACACAGTTACTTTGGTTCACACAAGCTAAATCCTGTTTGCTTGGTATCTTTGCTTGTATAACAAGCTGTGCCCAAACTGATAAACTAATTTGGGCAAGCTAACACAAATGTTCAAGTTTCCACAGCATGCTAAATCACAAACGATGCAAATACAGTGCAGTGGATCAGATCAGGTGGAAAAGCATGGAGGTTTACCACTTGTAGGTGCTTAACAGTTTGGTCATGGCTCGATTCGGGACTATGCACTGTCACTTTAGGTTCTAATATAATGAAATATGGATTATAAAGAAATGCTATGATTTATACAGGGATTAGGAGCATTAAAATGTCAGGCGTTGAAAAGACAAGTAGACTGAATGCTAGTGAAATAAAATACAGTACTGCTGGAATCACTAGGAAATCCTGATCCCATCCCTTTGTGAAATTTGCAGGTCGTAGAATCTGAGGTATTACCTGTATGTGAAAATGGGCTGGAAACTAAAGGAATGCATGGCAAGCATTGATGATGGGGGCAGGAAAGGGGGGGAAGACATGGCATGTTGACATCTTCACTCTTTATGGATTTTTAGTGATTGTGGGAATCATCTTGGTCTTGTAAGCTTCATTTACTCCCTCTGCTAATTTTTCTTTGGCAAACTTTATGTCCTCTCTTCAAAGACTCGTGGAATTGACCTTTTGTGTTGCCTTTTGTGTTTCTTCCTTCGCTGGCACTTTCTTCCAAAATGCCTATAAACTGTGTGTGTGTGTGTGTGTTTATTTTTGCTGCCTCTTTGTGATGCTGCAGTTTTCCCCTATCGACCCACAGGTAATCTGCTTTTGTTTTTCTGCATGGCATGGGTTAACGGAGGGCTTTAAAAATGTTTTCTTCTAGTATTGTTAAACTATTCTGTTTTGCATTTTTTCCTGATTTTTCTGTTGTAAAACCTCACAACCTTTGGTTTCCAAATAGAAAGGTGATTTGGAGATAGCCAAGATGATATGCTACCTGATTGGACAAGTGGGGTTTAACGCTTACTGCTGAGTTGATGATGTAAAATATTGACCTTGGCTTAACCTTGGCTTGTTTCTAGATACGCTTCTCTCCTCAAATGGTTGCATAACAATGTACTAGTTTAGACAGCAAAGTTGTAGATTGAGCATTTGATATCTATAGTTAAATTATCTTGGCTGACAGGGTTAATAAAAATAATGGGTCTTATTCAACTTCCCACATTAGCAATGGGCATTCACAACTTGATGAGCTACTGGTCCTTCATTAGATGAAGCCATTCTTTGCTTCCAACATATCAGGTAGTGCTGTTTGAATAATCATTTGAATAAGCGATTGTCACTCTCAGTGCCCACAATATACTTCTAAAAGTAAATCCAGGCAACCAAGAGTACTGGGTCTTAAAACTCTTTCAATTCTAGAGTTCTAACCAAATTAACTACTTTGTCTTATTTGGTTTGCAAAGCATGAGGCAGGATATGCAAGAAAGATCAGAGCAGTCCTGAAAAGAAAGAAAGAAAGAAACAGGAGCAGGACATATTGACACATTCCCTGAGCATTTCTTCAGAAGCTGGAGGAGACCTCGAGTAGCCTTCTCCAATGATCATGTTGGGTAGGGGATGGTGGGAACTACTGTCCAGGTTTTGGACTGACACTTGTTCAGGAACCCTGTTCTAGAGCAGGAGTTTCAAACTCAGGGCCTGCAGGCCAGATGTATCACATGCTGGCCCCACCCCCGCCCAGTTTAGTGAAGGGGGAAAAAGTACTGGTCGCATGAAGCTGCTGCGATGACACGAGCTTGACACCCCTGCTCTAGAGTTCAGTTTGCACAGCATTTCAAGCGATCCACCTTGCTCGGTTTACCAAATTTATATTTGCCGAATTGGACCCCAGGTCCTAGGAGCCATTTTGTATTACATGAAAATTCTCTCAGAATAGTTGATATTGGTAACAATTGTTACGTAGGGAACTGGGTTGAAGAACCATATTGCTATATCTTATTTCTGTCCCCGTTGTTGATGTCCTGTCCTGTATAGCTGAACAACGAGCTGAAGGAAAATCTGAGAAACACGATAATCAAGAAGTATAGGAAGAAAGGAGAAGAGAGAGTGACTACTGCGGTGGACAAACTTCAGCAAGAGGTATGTTTAAGAGATTAATACAGATTAACATCTAGGGAAAGAAATGGGGAAAGCTGAATATTTATATCTATCTATCATCTATCTATCTATCTATCTATCTATCTATCTATCTATCTATCTATC